TTGAGATATCAGTGGAAAAGCCGAAAATTGATTAATCATTATGCAAATTAGGTAATTAATATTGCACAGATTTTTACCTAAAACTAATCAAATCTGCGCATTAGTTTGGAGCATCTGTGTGCCAAGTTTCAGCAAAATCCAATGAGTGGTTCTTTAGATATCAGTGGAACAGTCATGGAACAGCTAAAAATCAGCTAATTATCATGCAAATTAGGTAATTAATATGCATGGATTTTTACCAAAACCTAATCAAACCTGCGCATTAGCCCAGAGCATCTATGCACCAAGTTTCATCAAAAACTGATGTATGGTTCTTGAGATATCAGTGGAACAGACGGACACACATACACACACACACACACACACACACACACATACACACCCACCCACACCCACATACAGACACACTAACTGCAAAGACTCCCTTTTTGTGCTTCGCACACGGGAGTCTGTCACAAGGTTCCAAAATACATATGTAATTTCAGATCATAGTAATGTAATTATTATAAAATTAATTCCATAAAGCATGCAAATTTGCAATAATAAATATAACCTGGGCAGAATAATCCCAGCAACGAATTGTGTTGAGTACGTGGGACGTCGATTCCCCACTCAAAGTGAAATGCACGTACGTCTGCTAATTTTAAGTGGAGTAATAAGGGCACCACCAATGTCAACGAACCAACTAATTGCTTTACTGAAAAGGATCTACATGCTAATTGTCTGTTATGCTAATTCATGCAAGGTATTTAATGAATGGAACATCTATTGTCAACGTCTCTTTCCTGCCACGCAGTTGCTGAGTATGCACATCATTCGACACACATACACACACACACCCACACCCACATACAGACACACTAACTGCAAAGACTCCCTTTTTGTGCTTCGCACACGGGAGTCAAAAACAATTTGTTTATTGGACAATTGTTCAAGAATACTCCTCGAGTGCGCTGTAAGCTGAAAGCCTCAAACGGGACAAAATATAGCATTTTGGGGTGAAATCCTTTCTATGAACTTGCTAGTCAACATATCATGGCATATGTTTAAGTGCAGTTTGTGCTGGAAAATTCATTATAGTGAAATGTTGATGTGATAAACTGAGTAGTATATTGTGTGATTCTATTCCATGTGACTGTCTCTCATCCAGTCAGCAAGTGTCTCGGAAATGAGATATGACATTGAACAGTTGTGTTTATGCAGATTCAAACAGATGACAATAATTCATCAACTTTAAGTACTCCTCAGTTGTAAATGGACTCCAACGTGGTTCCATCGACAAATGAGAATGTATTATTTCAGATATTGTGAGATTTGTATATGTATATGCATAATGTATATGCATATATATACAAACAGTTGTCCCACCAATACTTGAAACAAAACTGGAATTTATGCTTGATTTTAAGGTGATAAAATGGCTGCCATTCGGCCATCTTGAACCAGATCATGAAAGAACTAGACATTCATATATCCCAAGATGCAAGTGTGAAGCATAAATGTGATTGGTCAATGCATATCCATATTCACTTAGGGACGACGTCAAAAGATCGATGTCGGATAAAAAACTTATTTGCTTTAGTTTGGGGGTGGGGGGTTTTGACCTCAAAAAGTTTCCATCCTACAAAAACGATTTTATTTTTCAACGAAGCCAAAAAAAATCTTGGAGGATTTTGTAGTCGTTTTTTTTCTATCCAATCATAGACAGAAATAACAGAAAAAGAATAAAACACATCCAAGACGAGAAAATGCTTTGGTTCGAGTGTAAATCTGTGCGTCAAATGAGGTGCATTTGTAAAATCGTTTTACACCCACCCGACAACCAACTGCTACGCAATACTACTGTCCGATTATCAATTTGTATTTAATGGTGAATGTAGTCATGACCAATATTTATCAATTAAGTTTCAGTGGGGGGTAGGGGGGTTTGGAAAAAAAATAAAGGAATTTAGTTTTTTAACAGACATCGATCTTTTGACGTCATCCCTTAACATCATTGATTTGATTTACAAAACAATATTCTTGCATGCACACAATATTGACTTTAGTTCCACAATGTGCAACATTCGGTAGTACCGTAATATTAGTTTTTTTCTTTAAAGCGAGGGAGTCATCACCTGTGCATTAATTAAGCGATAACGTTTCATTTTTTTTACAAATAAGCTTCTACTCATGAGCCTTTTAATTATTAGTGTGTGTTATTATCTTTGCTAAGAAATCAATTTCTGTGTGTGTGCATGAAATATCTCCTCTGCTTTAAGTAAGCCAATACAAGTGTAACAAAGATTAATAAAACATGTAATGCCTAAAATATGTTGTATATAGTTTCATTTACTTGAATATATATGTAAAACAGTATACATGGTATACATGGGGTATGGTTAAGTGACCTTAAGGTCATTGACTGACCTGAATAATACATAAATCTTGAGCAGTGTGCGTCTCCCAGGGCTGATTTTGTAGGTATTCTGAGTCAAAATGGAATCCCCAAATTCAAATTGAGTAAGCTTGTTGACTGTTGTGGAGGTCGATTGTTAAGAAAAAAAAAATTGTATCTGTATGCGACTGTAACTGTAAAATGACTAATTTTCACTGGGTTTAAATTTCGCTGATTTACCATTTCCTGCATATTCAGTGGGTTTTAAATTCACTGTTTTATCATTTAGATAATGTGTTCTATGCTCAATTTTACATATTCACTGGGTTTTAATTTAGCGCATTTTCCAGTGAAATGAGCAAAATTAAAACCCAGTGAATAATTAATCCTTTTACAGTAATTAACCTGAGGCACACACAATAATGCTGTAGCCCATGATTTCCTTCATTTTTACCTTCATTTTCTTCATAAAAAGTGAATTTCATTTCACCAAATTACAAATTCTGCAACTATAATAAAATGTTTTTTAAGATCATTGTAGATTGTATCGATATATACGATTTTCTGTTGTGTCAATGACGTGCATATAAATTAGCACAACTACCTATAGTTGCATCACACATAATCACACATTACACATTTGTGTATCAGTGGTGACCTGGATAATAATAACAATAGCATACATGTTATGGACATGATCGGTTATGACCCTTAAAATCATAATCAGTCATAATTCTGACACCTTTATCAACAACTGATCTTTGCGACAATTGACAAGTTCTGGTGAAAAAACTTTCTTCTGTGTAGAGCGGTTGGGTTTCCTGCACAAATGTTTAATAGCTCATCGGAATGCCGGGAACCAGAGGAACCAACGAATAAATTGTGCAAGCTAGAATCAACCTTCTCACATGGAACCCGACTGATGGCGTTATAACTCAAAACTAGTCTACTATTGGTCAATAGAGCCACTTCAGTCTATGACGTCAATATTAAACTCACCTTGTTAATAATCCAGTTCCAAGCCAAGGATGAAGAAAATCATAAACAAATGCTTTAGTGATATGCTTACTGCTGTTAAAAATACACTGAAAACATAAATTAACGAGAATTTTACCACTTTAGGTCATGTGACTCATTGTACTACTATTAACTATTCTTACTTCTGTATATACATAGATTTTAATGGGCGGCGGTCGTCGCATCATGCATCTGCAACATTTGTGTAGATAAACAATGATTTTCCCACAATCCAATGCGTTTTTCTGATGAAATCACTAGTACGAGTTTTGACCTGGGCGTGTCTTGCACTAATTACTACCGGTGTCTCCTTCAATTCCTTCCAATCACCTAAAAAAATACCCACTTAAATTATGGTAACGTCTCAGTTTGTACTCACTGATCTGCGCAACAGTCAAAGTCGCCATCTTTGTTTATATGAGACCCATATCCTGCGCATGCGTGGCGCAACGACTACTGCCCTTTAAGCGAAAAACGAGCCACACTTGTATTGACAGTCCAAATTGCTACAGTTGAATTCATAGTGTAATCACTACAGATAAATGTACATAGCTTGTATAGCACCACTGTTTACAAAATGTGGCCACATAAATGCTCATATCTTGTGAACAGGTGTTGTATTAGCTACATATCTGTGGCATAATTCGAAAACCCTTCTGTAAATCATACCTTGTACCTATGTGCTAAAACTATGCATCCAAGGTGCAACGTCTCAAGTTCACGACAAGTAAGTTTTTCAACTATTGAAAAAGTTCGCCAACACAAAAACCCATTACATGAACTAAGATATATTTAATAAAATATAAAAACTACTGTGAATTTGATGAAGGCACGAATGTTTTTATGTGTATTTATGAATCATTCATGAATCATTTACCCTATAAGATCATTACCTTTTTCTAAATCCACACAATAATAATTTCATTCATGAAAGAAACCATTTGGTAATGCCTATTACCCATGAGTCTTTGCATGTTTTCTTCAATCATTGACTGATTTACTATCATGTATGTGAACAAAATTGTGGTATGCATCCCTAATGCATTGTGATCGATTAGGTTATTTTCAAATTTCATTTGAAATTTATAGAACATTTATAAAATATTTTTAATAAAAAATTATTCATGCCGTCACTGTGTGATAATATAGTAATTATAGTAAAACAAATTAAGAATAAAAAAAATGCCCCAAATACAAAACATCATATTTTAATCAGATTGCTGTAATTATTACAACTAATAAATGATTTTGACTTACCTCTGCAGCATCTGCTCTGTACACAAAAATAACAGGTTTCGGCCCAATCCATATTCGGAAAACACGCGTGTCTCTATAATCATCAACCCACTTAAGAATTTGCACAAAGAAAGCTGTGAATAAAAAAAATATGTTGTGTAGTTTATTTTTCTTACAATTTTGTGTAAAACAAACAAACAATGTATATTGAATGCAAAACACTTTTATTAATGTCTGAGAAATCAATGTGTTGACATCATGGTTCCATGGTAATGACTGTTAGATCAGTCAGAAAGGCTCAGTGGTTAGTGCACCCGCCTGAAGTGGCGAGTCACTTTGCTGTCGGCTCAGGCATGAATCCCATGTTGCGTGTTGTTACCAGCACGTAAATTTCTGTTTACCCGTAATTATTTACAAAGATTTAAGCAAAAATCATGTTGATCTTGATAACAAAATAATATTGTTCTTTAGGATGCAAGAGTCATGGTACAATTCCAACAGTGCCTATGCACTATATATGTTAGCACTAGCACTTGCAATTTGCACATTAAAAAAAAATCAGGAGAGAAAACAGTGACCATGTCTAATGCAACAGTAAATTTTAGAATTGGAAAAAATGTTTGGGGTCATTATCTTATCTCAAGTCAACAAATGTGGAAGGCTCTTTAATTTTAAATCCAATTAAATTTATGATTTTTCATGAATTTTTCGTAAATTTCTTTTGAAAATCAAAATAAAATCTGACCAGAACCATAGTTCTCCCCCCCCCTTTTTTTTTTGGCCATAAGTCATGTCTATGACCACTGTTTTATTCTTTCATTGAAAACACAGTCTTCCACAAACTAAACCTGCACAGTTTTTTCTATATTTAAAAAAACAAGTGATCTGTCAATTGAAAGAGCTCCCTTTTCTTATAAAAAAACCTCGTGCTTAAACATAAGTCAAGTAATGCACACACACAAGACAAAGTACAGGTCACTCACAAGAAAGTTGTTCACCCAAGGCACCTACTTATCAAGCATCAAAACCCATCACGTGAGCTTATAGTTTTCAAGAAGTAGAAACCAAAAATGACAAAAATATTTACAAAAGATAGAGAATTGAAGACATCGTCATGAAATGAACAAATCAAAGAGAGGTCTACCTATTAGTAAGGTACCTTCATACCAAGTATCAAAGCAATTAAGCATGTAGTTTTAAAAAAAGTTGAAAAAATATGTGTTGGCCGATGATGGAGGGACGACAGACATTCACCTATATGAACTTCTTAATGAGGTCAAAGTTCAGAATGATGAGTAAATCCATGACAATGCTACAAATCAAAGTCCACCAACTCAACCAATGTGTAAGTAGGGTAACTGATAATGTCCTCAGATAACTGATTAAAAAGTCATTTTTTAAAAATTAAATCAAAAGTTTTAATATTTTGTCACCTTTCAAACAATAAATCTGCCTAATAATTTTTTCAAAAAATTGTGATCAAGCCAACAAGAAATTATGTCCATTTGGTTCAAAATTAACAAAGAAATTTAAAAAACGTGTGCAAAATGTTGTGAAAAAGCAACAATATGTTTATTTATTTATTTCAAGGATAACCAGCAGTCCATTTCCAAGTTCAGAATTAGGGTAATTGGCAGACATTCTGCGGTATTCCACCACTCATTCGACAAGAATTTTTTATGTGCACTGAGGATAAGAAAAACACACGTGAACGACAGGTTTATATCCTCTCCGGCTGGACACCATACTGTAAAGAAGTTAATTATTCACTGGGTTTTAATTTTGCTTATTTCGCTGACTGGATAATGCGCTAAATTAAAACCCAGTGAATATGTGAAATTTAGCATAGAACACATTACCTAAATGATAAAACCGTGAATTTAAAACCCACTGAATATGCCTGAAATGGTAAATCAGCGAAATTTAAACCCAGTGAAAATTAGTCATTTTACAGTATTCCCAGCCTAGTATGCAATCAGCCTGGCAAGTGGACATTATGTACTTTTATTTCATTGCTAAATTTGTAGACAAGTTGTGCACAACCTCCCCAATGATGGGTAATATTTACCCTTGCGCTTTATTCAAAACCAAAGAAAACACATTCATTGGCTATGGCAGCCATTTTCCTTTTCATTTCTCTTCAATCATTGGTCGATTAACAACCATGAACATGAAAGTTATTTACATGCTTGTATGTACGAGATGAGACACTGATTGGTCAAGTAGTTTTTAACTGTTATTAGCAATTTATAGAACATTTATAAATATTTTATAAAAAAAAGTGTTTATTTCTTTTTTCTGTGGACCAGCTATGGGGCTATAGTCGTGGTATAGTGAAGTTCAGAGATACTTGAAGATGGTTAGGCATTTTCTCATAAAATTACCCACTTGGGGGTAAAAACAGTGGGACAATGATGTGGAGATAGGGTATGTTGTGGATAACAAGGTGATAAGACGTTTTTGTGTTATCCCAGGGGGGTGGGGCATTAAATATCAGCAACTCTAGTGATTGTTCTTGTTCCACATACCATAAGGTTGGGGGAGTCGAGGTGTAGATAGATAGAGAGTGTCTGAAAAGGTACATCTCATTTTTATTAAGCCTTGGAGCATTATAATTTTAATTAGCTAAAATATTGTTGTGTCTAAATTTTGCATATTTTTATATATTTCTCTATAATTGTTTGTTAATATTGCACCAAATGAAGACAATTGCTCATTGGCTACAAGTTTTGATCAAATATATGAACAAATTATGTTAATTTGTGAATGGTTAACAAATTTGACTTTTGTGCACAAAAGGTTAAAGCGGGGAGTAATCACCTGCGCATGCGTCAGATCACAGTCAGTTGGCGCACATGTGATATTAAAATAAATACGATATTTACTATATGTGAGCCCGTCGCTGATTGGCTGCTGAGCTGGAATGACAATTTTTGGTTTCAAATACCCCAGGAAAGTGTTCTAGGTTCTTAGTGTAATTAGGTGTTCGTATGCAAGAGATTTTACAAACAATGTCAATGTTTACAAACAAGCGTCTTCCCATGAGTCTTTGCGTTTTTAGCGCATGTTGTTATTGTAGCTT